AAAAAAAAAAAAAAGACAATATTTATTTCAGTAGTGAGAACTGAACCTATGGAATTCAGAGTCATATCCTAAACACGTTAAAATCATTAGCATTTGATAACTATTCAGTTAGCTAATTAAATGACTGATCCACATTCCTAACCCTTGATTTATTTATTTATTTTTTTGTTTGTTTTGTTTTGAGACAAGAGTCAAGTCATTAAGCTGTCCAGGGTAGGCTCTACCTTGAGATCCTCCTGCCTCAGGCCTCTTAGGGTGCTGAGATTACAGCTTGTTTGTCACCTCACCTGGCTGATGCTTGTGATAAAGATGCTGGCCATCCTGGCCATCCCTCCCACCCCCGCGCACATGGCTCCAATCCTCCAATCGGCAGAAGCCACCAAACCCCAAGGCGCTTGCTTCCGTACCTGCCGGTTCAGCTTTATGGACAAGATGGTGCTGGAGTAGCTGTAGTTGCAGATCTCCGTGCCTTTCTTAAAGTGATACACGTTCATCTGCCGTGGTTTTGTGTGACTGACCACCACCACCAGGCTGCTGGAGAAGAGGCGCTCCACGATGTAGACATCGGGGATTTCGTCTGGAGGGGGAGCGGCGGCCAGGTTACTCTGATGGTCACTGCAGCTGGGGCTGACCAGCAGGAGACATGCATGGCCACCCGGCTGCCCCCTTCCCACCGGGGAGCCCTGCCCGTCTGCCGGGGCAGGAATTCATCCTGAGTCATATCCTAAACACGTTAAAATCATTAGCATTTGATGAGTATTCAGTTAACTAATTAAATGACTGAGTCACATCCCTAATCCTTTATTTTTGGGGGGCAGGAGATGTTGGTGACCAGAATCACCTGGGAGGCTGCATACATGACGGAATCGCCCCCAGACCCAGGGGCTCTGCTGTGCACCCCATAAAATACATTCAGAAGGTATGGTGACCTCAATCCCTCCTTGCCCTGAACAAGACTTCCAAGATGTGATTCCTGGGTCAGGAGTCACTGTATTAAAAATTATTCTTGTCCTGCTAGAGGGGTAGCACTCTGGGGCACAGGCTCAGTAACAGCAAAATCTGTGCCCCTCTCTGTGTCTTCCTGTGCTCCGTGTCCCTCTCTGGAACTCTTGTTCTATTGAGGACAATCTGGACGTCAGTATTATGAGCAAGAAAGTACTTCCGTACTCAATACTAACCAGACCTCTGTGTTTTCCTGACACCATGTCATATGTGTGTCTTGCCTGCGCTTGGGCAAGTCCCATGGGGAATAGTATGGGGCGGGCTACACTAGTCATAAAATGGCATAAATAAAGTAAAACCCCAACATACTCTTTACCAAACCATTTTCATTTCAGGAAACCCTGTTGGCAGAAATGGTTACTCAGAAAAATCAGAGTCATATTTCTTTTTCTTTTTTTTTTTTTTTTTTTTTTGTGTGTGTGTGTGGCCAGCTCAGCCCACCAGGGGGCGGGGCTGGCTGGCATGTGGTGCTGGGGGATTGAACTGCGGTCCCTGTGCTTTGCTAAGCTTGTTCTAAGTAGGGGCTTTAGACCACTGAGCCATCTCACCAGCCCCCTAGAGTCATATTTCTAAGCTGAATTATTTTTAGTAATTTCTAGAAATATATCAACATTTTCAGCATTGGCCATGTAAATAGGACAGTGTTGCTTTATGAAAGTAAATAAAATACATTCCTGACCATATAAGTCATATCAATAATCTATAATGCCAATATAATGGTAAGAAGAAGTTGTGAGTGATCTTTAGATTTGACAGTCATAAAAAATGATGACCATGTACCTAAGTATACGGCAAGTATCAACAGCATGAGTTCGGGCAAAGGATTTCTTCACGTAACAAAGGAAATGTTCCCTAAATTACTGCCAAATTTTAGTAAGAGATTCATTGTGGTTTTGTCTCCAAGCAAGTGGAGACAATTCAAGTCTGAAAAATACTGACTCCTTCATTTTGATGGTTGAGGGAAGAAAAACCAGAAGGCTCAAGTTTAAAGTCCAGAGAAAGAAGTTTGCATCTGTGAGATTTCTTGATGCGGGGGAGGAGGGGGAGCGTGGCAGGACCCATGAACACGCACACATGCATAGGGCGCCCCCTCCCCCACGCACACACAACTTACTATTCCCATGGACTTGGTCCAGCTGCTCCACAGAACTCAAAGAAAACAGCTTGTAACCAGCTTTGGTTCCAATCGCTAGGGATCTGTGGAAGACAGGGACACCACAGGAATGACAAAGGTACTCTAACCGCAGAGCTACCTGCAAATAGATACCTCTTCCCCCCAGGCTCATGAAGTTCACATAAACATATATCTCCAGGAGCTCAGATCCTTGATAACTTCTTAAATGGAGGAAGCAAGCCCTGGCAGATGCAGCAAAAAGAGAGAGAGAGAAAACAAGCAAAGCAAAGGATAAGGATAGAAACTGCATTGGTGATGGAATTAAGCAAGCTGTGAAACCTACCGGAAGTTGTGTTTTCCCAGCTGGGCAGCTATAGGAAAAGTAGAATGTTTCAGAATATTCATAATAGCTCCATCTACAACATGATTAGGTATTTGAGAAGTGCTTTACCAAGAGGTAAATTATTTTTTCTTAATGATTCTTAATCATTAAGAAATGATTCTTTGTTTTTTTATTTTAAAAAAGGAAAGGCACACATTCAAAGTAGGTACTTTGTAGGCAAAAATTTAAAAGATGTTTTCCTGTATTCGTTTCCAAGTTTATATACTTTATAAACTCGATTGGGAAGCCGAACTGGATTCATTGCAAGCTCTCTCATTGGTAGCCAGACTTGAAAACTGTGCTGTATGCTGTTATCACAACCAACAAATACAATAAAAACCAAGTATCTACTTGGGTCAGTGTGGACTAAAAAACAAAACCAAACAAACCCATTTTCCTCAGTTTTCTACTTTATAAAAAGGCAAGGTATGAATCCGACTGTCAAGTTATGAATCCGACTGTCTACGCCTGAAGCCCACTCCGGACAAGCAGCTGGACTCTGAGCAGGTCCACAAGGGAAGACGGCTGTCCGAGTGGCTTGGCTCAACCTCCTCACTGACAGCAAATGCATGCAAAGGTGAGCTTCGTACTTCACGGGGAAGCACCTACTAAAATAAGCAACGTACAGGCCTGGGTGCCAAGGCTCTGGTTTCACCAATCTAAAAACAGATGACCTCAGGATTTTTCCCTAGAATTTTTTTTTTTTCAATCCAAATATTTGTTCTTTCCTGGGACAGGGACAGGAAGTGACAGTCAACTGCTTTTCACTGGTTTGTCTCTCAGCCCTTGAACGTGCTGAGAAGTGAAACACAGGTGGGGCCATTTGCATCCCGGCAACAAGTCAGAACTAAGGGTTGGTGTCTGGAACCTCAGGCAACTAGCAATAGAGCAAGTCAAGAAGCATCTTCAAACTTTCAGGTATACTCTAACATGTTTCAAAATTTTCTTCAATAAGCTTTTTCACCACACAGACACACTTAATTGCAAACAGGCTGGAAAAACCTGCAAGCAGGAGCAGAGGTTTTGCTTTGGTTTTTGTTTTGTTTTGCTATTTGACAGAGTCAAGTTATGCTGCCCAGACTGGCCCCAAATGTGTGGGTTCAAGTGCTTTCGCTGTTTCAGTCTCCAGAGTAGCAGGGGCTACAGTCATATGCCACTAGGGGCATCTCAGAGGGAACACATACATAGTTAGAGATATCAAAGACTCTAAGTCAAGGAATTTAGATTTATACTTTATTTTATCCATGAGATTTTCCTGTAGGAACAAAATTTTTATGGCTCAGAAGAATGGGACAAATACATATCACTAGTCAAACTTTTAAATGTACCCAAGTTGTCTAGCATAGCACCAGGCATAAAATACGAATACAGAACACTGGTAAAGATTGGTTATTAAGCATAACGTATAAATGTAGGCCACTAGTAAAGATTAGTTCTCTTTACTAACCTCATCCAGAAATAAATCCCAAACTCTGGATCCCAAACTCAGCCGACATTTACCAAAATAAATAAATAAATAAATAAATAAAAATTTTTTTAAAAAGACACAGATTCGCCTAAAAACACTGGATAAAGGAGTTGACTTATTTTAAAGTCCAATGTCATACCCTGTGTGGCTGAAAGCAACTCACTGTGTCAAGAACTTTTATTTATAGTTCAGAGAGCTGCCGAATAGAGCTTTCATCCAAGAAAACAGACCTGACGGTAGAGACTAAGGAAACTAACTTTCCAAGCACCCTACAGTTTTAAAAATAACATTTTTATCCACTTGCTAAAGGAAGCTATGATTTTATACCCAGACTAACAAAATAATTCCAAACCTAATAATGTCACAAAGCAGAATTTAGCACATTTACTTCTTATAGGAGACTAATGCGCCTCCTTAACCTGTGTTCAACCGGGAAGGAAGATCATACCAAGGCATTTCAACAGCTACATCCTCTTGCAAAATGTTTCTTACAAAACTGCAGAATTTTATCTGTACTATCATGTGAGTTTCAGCTAACAGCAGATGCTAAACAATTTGTTGTAGGCAGCCTTGGGGCAAAAAAAAAAAAAAAAGTATGGAAAATACTAAAGGGCATTACACATATGGTTTTGTGGTTAGTATATGCATATGAGGATTGGGAAATGATACATAATATATACTTTTTTCTTATTTAGTGCAGGGTATACAGGGTCTCACTACATAGATTGGACTTGTAGTGATCCTTCTGTTTTCAGCTTCCCAAGCCCTGGGGTTACAGGCCACCACGCCCAGTCTCAGTGGCTGTCTCAGCATGCCCAGGGAATGAGGCCGGCAAGGCAGGAATCGAACCTCCGATCCCTGCGTCTGCCTAAGGAGGCAGCTTTAATCCGCTGAGCTAGTTGGCTGGTCCTCTATCATATATAATTTTTATTGTGGGTAGTGGTAAAACACACAGACACACACACACCTTGAAAGTCACTCATATACCCAAGGTGCTGAGCTACTAGATTACATGAGTACACATAGTTGTTTTTTTTTTTTTTTTTTTTTTAAACAAAGGGATATTGTTCGGTGCAGGGTGTTTTTAAACAGAAACACAAAGGGAACGGAGACCAGGGCTGATTATGGTACAAGATGGCCTTAATTACACCATCAAATGTTCAATATTAGCACAGCTCGGTCACAAGCAGTCAACGCACAAGCCCGAATCCAGAGTCCAGACAAGGGTCACGACAGAAACTGGTACAGCAGGAAGTGGAAAGCGGGGAAGTGGTCATCCCTGCCCGGGCCGCCTGATGCTCCCGGAGCACATTCCAGAGAGATTATTCCATACGGTTCCCGGGGCTCGCTTCCAAGACAAGAGGGAACGAAAGAGGCGTGTGCCTCGGACACCATCCCGCGGATGCCCGCAACGCAGTCCTGCAATTCCCAGCTCTCTGACCAAGGTCCAGATGTGAAAGTCAAAGTGAAACATTGAAATATCCGCTCAAAAGCAACAGGATGAAGCTCCTGCTCCCGAGCAGCAAGCAATCTGGGCCGAGCAGGGCTCCCGAACCCCCGAAGGAGGGCCCGTGAGAACGGGCCGGTGATGCGACGCCCAGCGCCAGAAACCCCAAGATTTCTGACATCCCAGCGGCCGGGCAGGATGCCCGGGTCTGGGATAAGCCGCCGCTCTGGCCGAGGCCCTGCCCAGATGCCACGTTGAGATGCTCAAGGACAAATGGGAAAGTTTTTCCTGTTCTCCGGTCTCCCCGGCCCGGCTCCCCGCCCCGGGGGCGCTCGCGGCGCCCTGCCCGCCGCCGCCTTTGTCTGGGCGCCGCGTCCTCGCCGACCCAGCCCGCCGC